TGTGTGTGTGTGTGTCTGTATATATATATACAGACACACACACACACACACACACACACACACACACACACATATATCACATTTGCTTGATCCATTCATCTGTTCAGGGGCATCGAGGGCTGGTTCCATAAGTTTGCTATTGTGGATTCTAGTGACGATTTTTAGGAAAAAAAATCCCACATTGTCTTCTCACATTTAAAAAGTATAAATGTTTTTTTAAAAAGAGTTGAAATCATTGACTGGTTATTCATTGTGGGAGGATATGAATTACAGGAGGCTTTGACTGTCTTGAGTTGCAGCCTAATATTCCAGAGGTGGAAGGTGCAGTTTTGAATCCTACAATACAAAGCATAGAAATTGACAATTTGGAGTCACAGTGAGGCATTTACTGTGTTTGATTATTTTAAATCACTTCTATTTCCATATCATTTTTAGGTGATTTGTCTCCTAAAGAAAACCACTCCTTGATCCTTGCCCTATCAGAACTCTTTGGACTCTGTAACATCTTTGGTCATGGAAGTCAACTTTTTCTAAATGATTTTGCTAACATGCTACAAACAAAAATTTGAGTATATAGTATATATTACATAAAATTGTGAAATAGTGGCCCTTATGTTACAACTTATCAACACTAGAAGATAATGGGACTTATGGAAAATGAGTCTCCATATTTGAAGCAGGAAAGTCACTAGAGTAACTATTATAAAAGAATCAAAATGCAAGACTTCTTAGATGTTTGGCTTATATGTTAAGAATTGTGTACAAATTGAAAACACTACTTACTAATTACCCAATAATTTTTAAATTATACAAAATGCATCGTTCTATTCATTCATTGAGTCATTTCTTTCACTAATACAATAAGGATTAATCAAGTCACAGAGATTTTCTAAGCCTTGCCAAAAATAAAGAAGACTGTTCTTTGTGGTTTAAACTGAAATTTAAGTCTTTAATTTTAATCAGACAAGGAACAGAAAATGAAATTTGTCAAAAATACAACCTTCATTTAGTCTCTATGAGGTACAGTAACCAAAGAAATTTAGACCTTTCTTGTACTACTTTCTGTCTCCTTCTGAGGAAGGGATTCAACAAAAATAAAGCAGTCCTAGACTCCCAATCTCATGAAGGCCCCAAACTAATGGGGTGAAAGTCCTAAGGCAGTTCATAACATCCTAATCAGTGTTTGACAGGCCTTGTCTCATTTAGGTATCATGAGGGAGATCATTATCTTAACTGTTTTAAGATCAGAGGTTAAGGATATAAGAAGTTAAGAAAATGTCCCAACATGGTATGGAGGGGTTGGGTCTCAGAGCCAATCTGTCTGATCTTCATTACCATCTCCTCTGCTGCCTGACATCTCCAGGGCTTCCTGAGAAAGGCTGTCTCCACATTCATCTTCCTTGGGAGAATCCTGCAGAGCCCCCTGGACAAACAGCTGGAGACTCGGCCACTGTAGAAGCGGCTGCCTAAAGGAGCCAGTGAGGAAGTAAATGATGGTGTTGGCGCAGCTGTTGCCAGAGGACCAGAGATATGGAAGTGGAAGAACATATGATAAGAACTTACCCATGTTGGTCCCAACCCAGGTTACTAGGAAACCTTGGATACCTAAGGGCAGATCACAAAAAAGAAAGTCCACCACTGTGAACAGGATGGTCATATTCAGCCTGGTCATCAGCTTTGCCTGGAGCTACAGAACATCCTGACCAGAAGGCCCAAGTTGGACCCAGAGAGAACAACAAATAAAAAAATCAGCCAAACTACTGTGAAGCAATCAAATGCCAGACACCAAACACAATCAAAATACTTAAATAGGTATCCTTCCAAGATGATAAACAGCAAGAGCAGGACCCAGTGTAGGGCACACATGACAACTGACATGTGTCTAGGGCTGGGGCACTGCTATCATGCCATGGGACAGAAAATGCTCAGTGCTAATGGCACTGAGCATGCTCAAGCCTGAAATTAGACAAAGATGCACAGAGGATCAAAGAAGGTGTAGATATGGATAGAGACAGAAGAAAATGATGGAAAAATATAGCAGGGTATCTATAATATGGCAGCAAAGGAAAAGAAAGTCAACAGCAGCCAGGTTTAGGATGTAGACAGAGAAGGCGTTGGAGCACATGTGGAACCAGAGCACTGCTGCATTTCCTGTCAGCACAACAGGGTGATAATGAATGTCAGCAATTTCACAATCAGGGTCTTCTTGTGAAAATATAAGGGTCTGTCTTCCTCATTTTTATTCATTGTTGTGAAATCAGTCCCTCAGTTGGGGGATTGGATGCATGAACAGGAACTCTCCAACAGGGCCCCTGCAAACACAAATAGGATTTCAGCACCTGTCACGTGCACTGGGATTCTAAGTACCACCCAGCTATGTGGGAGGTACTGGCCCACTAACAGGGAAGGATACAGAAGCTTGGAGAGATTAAGTAATTTATTGAAGTCAGGATTCTGAAACTTGGAGAAAACCCAGTACTTACTGATATTAAAACATGGTCACTCTCCTGAAACATGGGTCTGTTACTGACATGGGAAACTTCTAAGTTGCCCACACTCTCACTGAGTATCCTAGGCCCTGTCATGACCCCCCAGAGCAGGAGGAAGAAAGTCTGGAACAGAGAGTGCAGGACAGAAATGGGAGTCAGCCCAGAATTCCTCTGCACAGGGGTTTTCTTTCAGGAGCAAGAATTCACAGTTCCCCAGTAATGAAAAATGGCCACCCTCAGTGGCTCAGAGTGGTCCTTCTATAAGGGATAAAGGATGTTATTTAAAGTCATTAAGGAAATGTGACTCTTTGTGCAGGGAGGCATAGGAAAGAAACATTTCAATGAATCAGTTTTATGAGGACAAGAAGCACTTTATTCTTGTCCATGGTGCTTCCCAGTGCCCATCTCCTGGAGGAGGACGGAGTTGAGTAGTCAAGACCTCTGTAATCCACAGGCGAATGAATTAACAAATAGGAACCATAAGCATACTTGAAAATTGGGTTAAATGTGCCCAAAAATTTTAAGTGGAATTAGTCACTAGGAAACACATATGGAATGAAGTGAAGCAAATGCATTCCTCATGAATCCTTCTGTGAAAAACAGAGATGGATTGGAAAGAATGCCCCATGTAAAGACATGAGTAATAATGGTCACTATTGTGTCTCCATCTCAAGGAAGGCTAGTGTCTGGATTTACTGAGCATGGAGAAGGATTTAAGGCAAGAGTTTAGAGACTGGACTCAGGGATGAACTGAACTTCCAGGGCTTTTGAGAAGTAAAAAGAAAGTTTGAGGAGAGAGAGAGAGAGAGAGAGAGAGAGAGAGAGAGAGAGA